AATGAAGATAACAAGAGAGGTTAGTACATATGAACGAGAAGGACGAAGATAACAAAGAAGGTTAGTACATATGAACGAGAAAGGACGAAAGATAACAAGAGAGGTTAGTACATATGAACGAAAGAGGATGAAAGACAACAGGAGAGGTTAGTGCATATGAACGAGAGAGGATGAAAGATAAAAAAAAAGAGGTTAGTGCATATAAACGAGAGAGATCGATCCATATGAATGCTTTATCAAAATATCTTGCGATATTTTGAGATTTGGCGAAATAATTTATAATTTTAAATGTAACGAATATGCTAAGAAAAAAAAATTTATCAAAATGAAAAGAGTAAAATATAAATGTACTGAAGAAGAGATTCCAGAGAATTGGAGGAAAAAATAGGAACTGAAATAGAATGCTTGAAAATGATGAGAAAACTGAAAAGAATTTTTTATCATTTTGATAACATTTGGAGAGAGAAGAAAAAGAATTATCTGAATTATAATCTCATCCAATTTATTCCTTCAAATCAATTCAGATAACTTTATGGATGATTATAATTTAGAGAAAAAAAGAGATTTAACAATTCATAACCAATGATTAATGTGAAAGAATTGATGTATCAATCAGTCAATCATATCATATCATCAATAAATTACTCTAATCATTCTTAATTATCACTTTTGAAAGTGATCGTTAAATACTTATGTCCATCACTTCTGTCATTGTAATACTTTTTATGGAAAATGCGCATACATCACGATAGTGAAACTGATTGAAAATTTATTGTGATGAAATGAAAGTTAAAATTTCTAAGTTGAAATTTGATGTTTTTATTCAGAAAGAAAGAAATTGAAGAAGTTAAAAACCTGCTAACAATTCTCCTAATATTCAACGAATGATATCAATCAATTCAATAGATATACGTGTCACTTATTGTCCTATATCTTCTTAATATTCAACGAACGATATCAATCAGTTCAATAGATATACGTGTCACTTGTTGTCCTATATCTTCTTATTACCATTTTATATTAATATTTTATCAGTTGCAAGCTTATAATATCATTTATTCTTTTTTAAATTAATAGTACTTATTATCTTTTTAAACAATTAATATTAGTTTTACATAAAAGAGCAGTTTTACATAAAAGAATGAATCATTTCATACCACATATCGCATACTTTTGATTGATAAAGGGACAGAAGTTGGCTATCAGTAATATCGAGACTAGTATGTTAAGGATTACAAATTAGAAGGAACAAAATTGGCTAAAGATTATGCATTCAATTATATGTACAAATAAATTGAATGAATTAGGATAAATTAGGAAATTTAGATTTAATAAATTTTAAAATAAAAAGAAAAAAAGTTTTAACAAATTAGGCAAACATCAAAGAAGCCGCATCTGTTTACGCATAATAGCATAATCGGATGACATCTCCAGTCTTTTTTCGTCATAAATGTCATCTTACAAAAAAAAAAAA